ATGTCCAAGAATCTGTATGTTTAGCAAGCATCCCAGGTGATTCATAATATCAGACATGTTTGGAAAATACAGCAGCATAGCATCAATTCAGGGTGATTTAATTGATTAAAGAAGAATGTATTTTAAGAGCAATTTTGGAATTTTGGATTGTTTTGCTTTGTAAAATACTTTTTGGGCAAAGTCTTGAATGTTGGAGAAAAATTATTACTTTATGCCATCAGTATTCTTTTTTTAATTTTTTTTAAAATCTTAACATTTACTTGTACATGTTCGTGGGGTACAGTGTGTTGTTTTGATACATGCATATCCTGCACGGTGATTCACATGGGGTAGACAGCATACTTTTGTACCCCTTAGTCCACCATAACAGTTATTCTACGATTTTGTTGGGGACAGGGGAAGACGGTGGAGTTTGTTTCATATTTGTATGATGTTTGTCTTAACCCATAAATGCAATGGGTACTCAGACAGTGAGCTGCGGTGAGGTAGTGGCCGGCATTGTGGCTAATATGCCTGTCTTTCTCTTTGAATCCCTGTCTGATAAGAATTTTCAGATCCTTTTATTCAGGATTACTCATTGTTAATGAGTTCATGGGGTCCCTGTGGTACCTCATTACCATCAGACACTGAAATTCTTTATTAGTAAAATAACTCAGACCTGGATAATTCAGGTTGATTATGATAGGCAGATAATTTGATTGTAGACTTGTTACCTTTTAAATGTGTTTGGCAGTGTCATAAATATCTTGTTCAGTTACTGCTTGATGTGGTAAATATTTTTAGCCCTCCAGGGGACTCCCTATATCGGGACAGTGATCATTAAACTGTATGTGTAGATGTTCAATCAAAGTGTTATAAGTAAATACAGATAATCTCTTCTGAGTTCATGAAAAACAAATTAATGCACAAAAATTCTCAATTTTGATTTTCAGCAATACTTTTAAGCCTACTATTTGCTAGGAACACCAGAAAACAGCAACAAAACTAAATAATAAATGAATATTAACCCTAAACTCCAAAGCAGGGCATCATACTGGTTTTAATATCTTTCATATTCTTGGATATGTATTTTGTTATATACACTCAGTAGAGTACTTTTCTGCTATGAAATGTATTTTTAGTTTTTATGACAGAATAAAACGTATCAGTAGTTCATGCTGTTTCTGTAAAGGGTGTGACATTTTATAAAGAATAGCACTATCTCTTGATGCTCCACCAGTAGAATAAGTATGAAAAACTGTTTCAGGACATCTGAAAAATTGTGTTAAAATATGCTTGCTAACTAAATAAAAGATTAAAATTTGGGGTATAAGTTATATTAGTTGGGTTTTATAAATTCATTACTTTTTGTATTATGTTATTTTTTCTCACTTTCCACGTTCTTATTTTTATAACATTATTGGGTATAATTGAAATAAATGAACTGCACATTTTTAAAATGTACGCTTAGATCCGTTTTAATATAGGTATGCACATGTGAAACCATCACCACAATCTACGTAATGAACACTTCCATCTTCTCAAAAAATTTCCTTGTGCCCTTTGTAATCCATCCCTCCACACTTGTCCCCAGGCAACCTCTGATCTGCATTCCGTCACTGTAGATTAGTTGGATGCCTCTAGTATTTTATATAAATAGAATTATATGGTACACACCCTATTTTTTCTTTGACTGCTTTTTCCACTCGGCATAGTGATTTTGAGATTCACCCACGTTGTCACATAGATCAATAATTCATCCTTCCTCATTGCTGAATAGCATTCCACTGCATGGAAATACCAGTTTGTCTATCTGTTCACCTCTCGATGGATATTTAGGGGTTTCTCCCCCAC